CAGTCAATCGGTAATTCCCATCCCTTATCACTTATACCATACATCAAGGTTCTGTCGTACGATATGGAGGCTATAGCTTGTCAAATAGTACAATAAACTTAGCCAGTTTCATAATTGTGACATCCTACCGTCTACCTACAGTCCTACAGTATGGCCCAATCGTACGGAAGGACATTTTGCTCTTGATGAGCATCCCAAATAAGCCTTCTAGATAAAGTTTCAGCAAAATCCGAATGGAATTTTGGAGCTTTGAACCAACTTAAATGGTAAGGAGGGCTTCTTCGCCGCTGACAGAAACTATCATATCCCTAATGGCAACAATGAGTCTAGGCATCTTTGTTGCTATTATTAAATCAGTAAATCTCCAGTTAGCTTCAGTTTTTAAACAAAGCTCGTAACCTTAACTCAGAATTCTTATAATTTAATTCTCAGTCTATCAATATAGGTTGGCTTCGTTGTGGTACCTCCTTTGTATTTCTGTGTTCACTCAGAATCTTATCTCAATACCGTTCCAGGAAAGCGTTCTACACAGTTATCAGGGAAATATCGGGTCTTTACCCGATCGTCTGCCTATCTCACACCATCGCGCCATTGTGAACAAGCCATTTATGAACGCGAAGTTTATCTAAAAGCAGCGCTAGTAGTTTTACTTTCTTACATTGATGTTTTGTCACTACGTCTGCTGGTTTGCATTTTTATCATTTCGAGAATGCGAACTACTGATTAGAGGAACAAATTTTTGTCTCTGGAATCGTCTTCAAAGCAAAAAAAAAACGTTTTGGAAATAGTTTTTTTTTCTTTCGAAGTTTAATTAGTTTTAGAACTTATAAATTGGTAACAAAGCTACTTATCGTTTCAACTATATCAAAGGTTCTGTTGTCCGGAAATAAAGCTTTGGTATTTTGCGAATTTTATTGCAACTTTGTCCCTATTACTCCAACTAGTCAAACCACTATGAATAAAAAAATCCAATACAGCATTCCCATTAAAGACGTATTTCATTCGGATTTCTTCAATTATTTAATTTTCTTCAAACATTTCTTTGATTTACCCTCTGCAAGTGGAATATATTGTCATCCATATAATCTCTTGTGATATCGCCATGCTGAGCAGTCTCCTCTTCAAAAAACAAATCTGCAACTTTTCGTCGCTATGCTGCGTAATCAGTCGCAATGTTGCGTCGGGGTGCCGATGAGCCGCCCGTGTCAAGGCATTTTTCTCATGTTGTTTTCCTCAAACAACCCTGTATAGCTCCCATGAAACTGCTGACACAGCATCTGTTATTCGATTATGTCTGCCCTTCGAATACATGGTGTCCTGAACATCTGCCTTTTTTGTCAGATTTATAGTGTTTGCAGAAAAAATGGGAGGGTTCAACCTGGAAGTTTTTGATGCAAAGGAACCAACACGTTCGATTATAACGCTCGATAATCTCACTGGTGATGAGACAGTACTCGCTATAAAGAAACGTATAGCGCAGAAAAGTGAGTTTATGCTCTTATGGGGAAGTCTATCTCATCGTCGCTTTTTTTCTGTCCTTGTGTCAACAAACTTTGTACTTTGCACTAAACTGAGTATTCTCTGATAAGTAGTGCGTGATACATCTCTCGGAACAAATTCGAACGAAGTACCTAAAGGGATGTTCGCCGTTACTTGTTACTTAATAATGTTCGGAATTTTGTAGAAGTAATATTTTTTGATCATTCTCTGCGCACTTTTGCAGAAGTAAAATCAGAGGAGGATCCTTTCCTTATGGCCAAAAAGGAATTTTGGAAAAGATTGAAAGTGCGTGCCCAAAGCTTACAATCGTTTTCCAACATTCATCCTATTGCCCAACTTATGTGCTCCTCATTTTTCTTGTACGTCTCTATTTCTGAAGTAATTAGGTTTGAACCATGTTATATTATAATCACATGTCATATAGGTTGAAATCTGTTTACAACGTTACTTTGATTGATTTAAGTAATGATGTCCCTACAATTGCCATATCTCGGGATCTCCATACTTCAAATCGGCCGACCCTTATAGAGCTTGTAAGCGCAATAAGAATCGGCCGATCGAGGGTGCGCGGCGGCTGCGTTGCTGCGGCGTAGTCAAATACCATTTTGCCTAGGATTCCGTCCTCATCTTTCCGGCCACTTGCTGACGACTTCTGAAACTCTACCACAACCTGAAGAAAGAAAGTAGTCAAATCGGAAGGAAAAGTGCGGAAAGGCTGCGATAGAGCCGAATCGCACCAAATCGGTACTCAACAAAGAGCCGCAACGCAACCGGCGCGCACCCTCGATTGGCCGATTATTGCGCTTATAAGCGTTATAAGGGTCGGCCGATCCTTATGAAGTATGGAGATACCCTCAGTGCGCACTCCTTACCATCGCCTCTGCCTCGTTCTGGATGCTCGAAAATATGCTTGTTTAGAGAGGTTGTGGTTATATATCATTATCATATCAAAGCACATGAAAACTCGATCTATGTACTGTAGACGGCGAATACTAACAGATCTTTTATAGAAAAATCCAGATGATCTCAGCAAGTAAGAGTGACTCAGATTTCTAAAACTGCTAGTAGCGAAAGCTTCATTTTTTCCTGTAGTTTTCGCAGCTTATAAATTATCCCATAAGTGTGTTTTCGTAGTTGTCTTTATTCTTTGATTAAAATTGAATGCCTTTTCAGGCTCAAATTATCGGATTTGGAGGCGCTATTTTTTGAAACTCGTGATATTATTGTAACGTGTTTTCCTCTCTTTTTTCATTTCAAGTTATTCTTGCTGCTGACGTTGCTCTTTTGAAAATAGAACCCGTGGGCTTTTGCTGTAAAATGAAGTGTTGTGCAACAGATGCAGCGGTTTTTGCTAGCCAGTTTACACTTGGAGAAGGAGTCGTTCCTCTGATTTCAGCAAGCAATAATTTTGTCTGTTTTAGAGCTAAAATTGACAGTTGAGCGACAGTCAGTACGTGTTGAGCCTAAAGGGAAAGCTATTGCTGATGAGAAGCAGATCAAAGAGCTCGGCCTATCTGCACAAAATGCACAGTTGTACGTGCGTGATCTTGGACCACAAATTCCCTGGAAGACTGTAAGTTGTTTTATCTTTCTAAGTATTATTTGACTTTTTAATAGAAGACAGCCCTATTTCTCAGTATCCTGGATTGTGTAGTAAAATCGCCATAGTTGGCTGTTGTCGTACATGCCAACCGAATTAGTTAACCAAGCTGATTAGATAAGGAAGAACGCGGGCGCATTGATTAGCAAGAACAATTACTAGAAATGAGTGTTTGAGGAAGTGGTTAGAAAACATTTGGGAGCATGAGTCCTATTATGTGATTTGAGATTGTGCCAATATAAGTTTTGCTAACTTACAATCGCGAAGTTGTTAAGTTCATCAAAAGTAAAAAATGATGTTTTTCAGTATCGTACGATTATTTTGTGTTCATAGTTGAGATCTCATTTTGGAAGAATATTCTTGAGACTTTTGTTGTTTACCGTGTGCACGTACTCGTTCCAATCATCTTGTTTTCAGGTATTTCTACTGGAGTACTTGGGTCCTCTCCTAATCTATCCCCTCTTCTATATTCGCCCTGCATTTATCTACGGTGAAGGTTACGACTGTTGATTTTTGATGCGGCATTTTGATGTCTTGCTTTTGAAACTTTTTCAACATAGATTGGCTTTTCATGTATGAAATGTCATACTCAGAAGTTCTAAAAGGCTTATTACATTGAGGTGTTTGTTATATGTTTCGTTATATCTGTCTTTTTTAGGAGCAGCTGATCGACCATATCATCTTGCTGTGACCTACGCGTTTATTTGCTGGTCCTTTCACTATGCAAAACGTTTGTTTGAAACCCAGTTCATTCACCGATTCAGCAATGGAACTATGCCCAGATTTAACCTTGTCAAGGTAGAGATTCTTTCTTGAAATCAAGCGTGTACAGAATTGAAGCTTTTCTCATTCCTGAACTTTCTAGAATTGCTCTTACTACTGGGGCTTCGCTGCATTCGTTGCTTACTTTGTCAAC